ACATTTACCAAACTTAAGATAGGATCATGAAATTCTACATTGCTCGCTCCTGCGATGAGTAGGAAACATGCTTTCGTAGGTGGCTCATAGCACTGTATAGATAACTCGAAGGAGGCTCTGACTGGTGACGTCGGCAAGTCGCAATCAAAACTGTAGCCGTGACCCGAGCCTTGCGACTGGCTCAAAGGACAGGAGTAAACTGATGTAGAGCGAAAGGAAAAGTGAGGTACTGTAGAGTTGTATCTAGAAGTTAATGATAGAAATTCTTATGATTGAGAGGAGGGCACATTATATCCTTTTACTAAGGATGAAAAAAATCCTTGTGCAGAACCGACTCATAGCCCAGTTGTTCATGAGTTTCCTGATTCGACTCACCGAACTGAGCTAGCCTGATACCTGGTAGGTAAGGTACGGACGGAGTACAAGAGCAGCAATCAAGAGATTAGATCACGTGAAGTCATGTGGTAACCGAAGAACATGAAGATTGTCGGCCTGAGGCAGACACTAGAGTTTGTCCTCCCAGATTGAGACTAGCTCAAGTCACTAGACACCTGACTTTCCTTTTTTCTTTCTCTCTCCTCAATCCCTCCGTCCCTTCATCATCCATCCATCTTCTCTCTGTCCCAACAACGTAAAGTACATCCAATTCGCCTTCACATTCTTCTTTACTCTGCATCCTCTCACTTTAGGTTGTACCCTGTACTTGTACTCGCTCGCGAGTCGCGAAGCCCTGGGCACCTTGCTTAGCTGTGTTCCAGCTGTAGGCGGAAGGCTCGTTCGTCGCCATCGTGCTCGTGGAGTCTGTAGTGACACGACTACAAGTGTGAAAATTCCGCTCTAGACAAACTTTCCTCACTTCTGAGAGGAAACAAGCCATCGCCAACTTAGGCATCACCAAATCTTCCTGTGCTGGATTTTCCAGTAGAAACGCCTCGTTTTGGAGCTTTGATACTCTCCGCATCTTATACATCCTCATTTCAAGCCGCAAGAGTCTGCTTGTCTCAGCCAAGGGAATTTTGGTAATTGTATGTCTTTCGTACTGCGCTGAGATCCCTGAACGACCATTATCAGCTATGTCTTCTGCTGTAGCAGAGTTGGAGAATTATCTCCAGTCTATGCTGGCTCTCAAGCCCCCAGGCGTTTCTGGGTCTAAGATCAACAGTATCACGTCACTTTGTACAGCCAACGTTCAGGTATGGACAAGTCTTGACATGACCGCAAACTTGTGTTACCCGAATTGCAAGCTAACTCCTGTCTCTTCTCACAGAACGAATCCGTCCTTATTCAGAAGATTTATACACACTTCAAGAAGGCACCAGGAACACACAAATTGGGCGTACTCTATGTCGTAGACTCTGTAACTCGACAATGGGTAGAAGCAGCGCGCAAGGCAGGCCAGCCATCTGGCAGTGCTGCCCCCGATGGAACATTCGCCGCTGGTGTCAACAGAGTGACCGAATTACTGCCTGTCTTGATGACTGATATCATAAACAACGCCCCTGAGGATCAAAAGGTACGCTTTAGATGCAATACGCGAATAATTTTGAAGCCGTTACAGGATTTGTGGAACGCATAGGAGCGATAAGAAACGGTGATCATTTTTGTATCCCGTGATGGCTTCCCATGCTCCCAAATCATCGTATCCCTTTCTCGTTGCTTAAAGCGGCAATCTTTCCTTTAGGCTTCTGCTGTCTTGTGTGACGAATAGTTCAACTTACGTATGCGACTCTCTCAATATATAGGAAAAGATCAAGAAGTTGGTCGATATCTGGGAACGTGGTTATACATTCCCTGCACCCATGCTCGCATCATTCAAGGAAAAGTTGAATGCGCCTGCATCTCAGAGTAAGCTATCCCTTCTAACCCCCCTACGAAGCAGGAGTTGGTCCTGTCGTACGTGGAATCTATCCAATCATTCTAGACCCGTGGTTTCTAGTTGCAACCGCTTTGGTATCATAAATCTAATGTCTCTCCCTAGATGTTGAATCTACCACTCCCGAAGGATCACCAGCACCGAGTTACATTCCACTGGGAGGTCCGCAGCAGCAACAGCTGGCGAATGGCGCATCCTCAACGGCTCCCGCTCAAGCAGCGCCTGACACTTCCAGTATCTTGAAAGCGTTGGCAGATATGGCCAAGCAGAACATAACAACGCCGGCCGTTCCAGCGACGACTAATCCCCTAAATGCATTGAACGCGCAGGGTACAGTTTCACAGCCCGTGTCATCGTCCGTAGACCAGGCTTCACAAGTTCAAGCTGGACAGGCTGGTGTAAATCCTTATGCCGCTGGAACTATGGCGACGCCGTTCGCGGCTTTGAGTAATCTCGCTCAGAATCCAGCATTACTTCCACCACAAAGCCAAAGTCATACTCCTCCAAACCCACTCGCTGCCGCGGGCAATCCCCTGGCCGCGCTACTGCCGCAGGCGACCGCAGCCGCAGCTCAGCCGACTCCTAGTATAGCGCCGGACGCCCTGCAGCAGCAGCTTCAGCTCTTGCAGCTTTTAGCGGCACAGGGAATCCCGCAGGAACAGTGGGCCACCGCCCTCCAGATTCTCAGCTTGTCTACTGCTACAAACATGGCCAATGTGAATCCTGGGCAGGCAGCTGGCTTCAACTTACCAGGTCAAACAGCCGCCGGCTGGGGTAGCCGTCCAGATTCACAGTCACGTGATTTTGATCGAGGGGATCGTGAAAGAGACCGCGACTACATGCGCTCTCCTCCAGGCCAGTATCGTCGCCGATCTCGATCGCCTGGATGGGACCGACGTCGTGATGTGTCACCCCCTCGTCGCCGTGATAGCCCTGTCTATGGAGAGTATCATGGTGATTCTCCCGGCCGTCGGGGTGATATGCGTGGTCGACGAGGCAATGAGTATCGCCAGCGCAGCCCGCCCGGGCGTAGACGGCGTTCTCCTACTCCCCCTCGAAAGGACCCGACACTGCCTCCTCCCGGCCCTAAATTCATCGAGTGGGATTACTCTATCGGACAAGGAAACATGAAAGGTTTGTAGCGCGAATTTCTGAATCTGAATGTGCTTCGTCGAGAGCTTCAGCTAACATCTGTGCGTATAGTTCTGAGCAGAACTCTTTTTGTTGGTGGTGTCACGTAAGTCTACCATTATTCCCCAAAAGTGTCTTTTATACTTTGTATACTGATAATTTTGCAGATCTTCGGAGGCACATCTGCGATCCTTGTTCGGCAAATTTGGTATTGTCCAAACTTGCATTGTGAACATCGACAAACGTCACGCGTTTATCAAAATGATTAGTCGTCAGGACGCCGTCAGTGCCCGGGAGGGAATGGAATCCTTCAAGTCCGGTGACATGCAGCTTAGAGTAAGTTTTTGTTAATAAGTTCGTTGTGTTTAGGAAGTGCCTCTGACAGAATTAGACTCGGTGGGGTGTCGGTTTCGGTCCACGCGACTGTAGTGACTATCAGACAGGCATCAGTGTCATTCCAATCGAGCGACTTACGGAAGCAGATCGTAAGTGGATGCTTACCGCTGAATATGGTGGAACAGGAGGGCGACCCATTGAGTCTGGCATGGTGGTTGAGGAACCTGACATTGAAATCGGTGCTGGCGTTTCATCAAAGGGTAAGAGGCTCTCTTTCCTGGTCCTTCGTATTGACCTAGTGAAGTCAAGGCTAACTCTCTGCCCTATAGCCATTAGTAGACGGATTGCCACCGACACGGGAGGGAAACGCGGTCCGGTGTCGTCCCGCACGCAGCAAGATCGATTCCGTCGCCCAGAGCGTGACGGCCAACCGGGTGGGATGGGGCCTGGTGGCCCTGGCCCTCATGAGGGGCGTGACCCCTCGGCTGTCAATAACGTCGGCGTACCCCCTGCAGTGCCCGGGTTTGGATTTTCGTTTCCCGGAATGCACATGTTTCCTCCTGGCTTCATGATGGGAGGGGCGCAAGCTGGATCTTCCGGCGGCTCAACTCAACCACCACCACCTGGTCAGGGAAGCTGAGTCTTTCGACCAATTTTCTTTGGCACAACCGATCGTATCGCGTTGACGACATAGCATTACCTTCACCGTGTACACAGGCCCTGTCTTCATCTGGCGACTTAACCACGTTTCATTTTCCCCTTCATCTTTCTACCTCACGTGTACTATTTCTCTCAAACGGGGTTATTCGGGAGTTTTGAGTTCTCAGGTCGGTTTCTAAACATGAATTTTGCTTTACTTCATAAAGGGTCTAGCCTAGGATGGCACATTGGCGGGAGACAAGTTCCCTTTATGCTCCAGTCACACTTGCTGTGAGATCATCTCCAGCAGAGCGAAAACAGCACCGTCAAGAGATGAGAAGTGGGACCGGGTTGCATGAAGCTGGATACTGCCATTGTATCATGGTTCCTCAAATTCTGCCTCTCGAGCATCATATCGACCTTCCACTGCTGGTGTTGATTTGCGTTTAGTCCTAGTTGGTTGAGACTCTTGAGGTGGTTCTTTGCGGTATTGTACCGTTATGTGTCTTTCTGCGTTCACATCAAAAAGAATCAACTCGAACAGTTACTATTTGCTTTGTATTTCTCTGTTCAACCCATTCTCTTGCTGTCTTCTTCTCTCTTCGTGGTATGATGCGGTCTATTTTTTCTAGCTTGATTCTACTACATTGAATAACCAATTCAATAGTAATCTTTGATACTGAGGACAAGTTTTTGTACTTCTGTTAGTCCCTTCATGCGACTTTGTGGTCCAGCAATGGACCAATTCTGCTACATGCAGACAACACAGCTGACAATTTCCTCCGAGGGGAGTACCATTATATACTATAGAGTAGCAACCAGATTCTCATAAGAACCACCCCCTCTTCATCCACCCTCTTCGCGAAAACTCTGCGCTTACATTGACGAAGAAAGTCTACATTGACCTTATATTATAAAGCAATAAATTTCAAAGAACTATTCTGCTTGGTATCATATGTTCATCGCACATCGTATTCTGCCTTTTGGCGTTCTCCTTTTATGATAGACGTAAGGCTACACTCTACTGTGCGAGTGCGGCACTGGAGGCCTTGAAAGATTGTTCAAAATCGGCAATGATGTCGTCAATATGCTCGGTACCGACCGAAATGCGGATAGCATCCTCAGTGACACCCGAGTCCAGTCGCTCTTGCTCCGTGAGCTGTTCGTGGGTGGTAGACCAAGGGTGGATGGCCAGAGTCTTCGAATCCCCAACACTGTTGCAAAAGGGTTAGCTTGCGTTCTGACAACAAGGTAGCAAAATCTCGGGAGCCAGGAATACTTACTTTGCCAGGTTAGAGATCAGCTTGAAGTTGTCAACTACCTGACTACCGGCAGCCGCGCCTCCCTTGACTCCAAAGGATAGTACGCCACCGAAGCCGCGCTTCAGGTAACGCTTGGCAAGTTCGTGGCTGGGGTGAGATTCCAGACCAGGATACGAGACCCAGCTCACGTGTTCGTTCTTCTGCAGCCATGTGGCCACGGCAAGGGCATTGCTTGCATGTCGCTCAGCGCGCAAACTCAGAGTCTCCAGACCAAGTAGAAGCTGCTGAGCGGCAAATGGGTTCAGTGCCGATCCCAGGTCACGAAGAATCTCAACCCGGACACGGATAGCGAAAGTGATAGGTCCAAAGGTTTCCCAGAACTTCAAACCGTGGTAGCCCTCGGACGGTTCGATGAATTGGGGGAATCTATCGGCGTGCTTACCCCAATCAAATTTACCGCTGTCGACAACAACACCGCCAATGGTGGTTCCATGACCACCGATCCACTTGGTTGCGCTGTGCACCACGATGTCAGCACCGTGCTCGATGGGGCGGAAGAAGTAGCCACCAGCGCCGAAAGTGTTGTCAACCTAGAATAAAGGCGGGCGCAATCAGAGATAGTCTTCCCGTATTTCGACGAAGTGAAACTCACCACGAGAGGAACGCCCTTCTCGTGAGCGACCTTAGCGATCGCCTCAAAATCGGGTACATTGTACCGGGGATTGCCAATAGTCTCGACATAGACAGCCTTGGTGCGGTCATCAATGGCCGCGGCGATGTCCTCTGGCTTGTCTCCTTGGACAAACTTGGTTGTGATACCCAGACGAGGAAGGAAGACTTTCAATTGGTTATATGTACCACCGTACAAGTTGCTCGTAGCTACGATGTTGTCGCCGGCGTGAGCAAGCGCGGCGATGACCATAAACTGAGCAGCCTGGCCGGAAGAGGCTGCAACGGCTGCCACACCCCCTTCAAGGGCGGCGATGCGCTTCTCAAAAACATCAACAGTAGGCTGAAGTAAAATGAAGATTATCAGTGATACGACTTACAACCCAATCCGGGCTGCGGAGAATTACTCACGTTCATAATACGGCTGTAGATGTTTCCGAACTCCTTGAGGCCAAAGAGTCTGGCGCCATGGGCAGAATCATTGAATGTGTATGACTACATCTCGAGATTAGTGGGGTGAATGACTAGGAGAGTAGAAGGGATGGGACCAACGGTAGTAGCATAGATTGGCACTGCCCGTGAATTGGTAGCAGAGTCTGGTTCGTGACTTGGTGACTTGTCAGTGTTGCCATTGAGATAATGAGCGGTCCAGATTTCGGTGTTTATCTTACCCAGCATGGAGTTGGAGTGTTTCAAAATGAGGTGTTTGAGACATGGTGTATGTTCAAGGATTGGGTATCGGATACTGGGCTTGGACACTCTTCTCACACGATCTATAATGCAATCGAATCGAGGATCGACAGGTAGAGGCGAGGATGAAGAGGGAGGCAACACTGCAGATTGAAGAAGGTGGGAGGAGGAGAAAAAAAGGAAAAAGGAAAAGAAAAAGGAGTAATTGAAGTGGGGGAGAAATGTTCAGAAGAGTATACAGAAGTAGTTTGGAGCATAAGTAGTTACCATATGCTTGGGGATGTGCACTGGGGTAGCGCCGATGGCGTGATTGAGGGACGAACACTGGAACTGGGAGAGGGAAAAAGCAGTACGAGAAAACATCAATAACAAGAACTAATCATTCAGAGAAAGTGTGGGTGGAATACGAAGACCTTATAATTGCTTTTCAAAGGAGTGATGATTTTGATCCAGAGATGTATATGTACCACTGTGAGAGAATCGATACATAGCAGTGGTAGAAGATGATGCTGACGAGAGAAGTAACTACATATGAGTGTCATAGACATTTCCTGGATAGAGTAGTCATATTTTCAGCTGATAAGATTGAATTGTAGTCCGGAGTATCCAACATAGACTTCACATCTAATGTATACAAAAGAAGGTACTAATACTGTTTCATTAGAATCCCTCATTCTCATTCTCATTCTCTCTTGTTCTTCAGATCCAATCTGGGGAAGCTGATGATTGATGATTGATATTGATGAGTCAGTATCTCAAGGCACAAGCGGTCGTCCATGGGTCCTAGACAGGTACTAGTCTAATACTATAGTCATAGTCTATGGCATCTTCAGTCTGTCGTGGCGCTCCTGGGCCCCTATCGAGGGGCATAGCATGTTGTGGCTTTGGAATGTGTTTCCCCTATGACACTCGTGTTGATTTCTTTGCCGAGGCGCATGTCGTCATAGGGCAGAAAGTTCCTTAGCCTTGAGCCATCTATGCCCGTTGCTATCATCGATCACAGGCCCCATGACGCAGACGTCCACCTTGAAGAACAATGGTAAGACAGGAAAATGAGGTTATAGTACACAACAGAAAGACAAGGGATCGACGCCAATTAAAATGCTCGGGAGCGTGCAAGTTGTAGCGGCGTACAAAAAACTAGGCGGAAGAATTAAAAGAGGAATGCCTTTTGACTGTGACGTTTGTGATCACCAGGCATGTATTTAAAGCAAAGAGACTACACTAGCGGTCAAGATTCCTCTGTGCTGTCCTTCCTGGTGTATCTATATGCACCCTATGAACTTGGAGTTCTCTTTCCATCAAAGTCTACAGTCATTGCTCCTCCAACAAACTTGAACAATAATACCTATCTTCGCCAATAAAGGTTTGTCCCATACTCGCATGTCCAGTCCGCCCCCTGCCACAGGAGGAAGATTGAGGCCAACAGTGGTTTTTTTATGGCACGGGATGATAGCGATGATCTTGGCTGAAAAGAGTCTCCAAGGCCACGATCATGGTTTCGTCCGGCGCCCTTTAAGTACGAGCGAATGTCCCAGTCCGCTCCAATCTCTCCCTTTCATCTTCACATGCCCGAGGTTCGGGTTTGAAGGCATCGACTGATTGACTATCTATAGGTCAGAAGAAGCAGGGCCTTTCTTCCCACACTCGTCACCTCTTGATGCCATAATTTACTCACACCATTTACACATCATCCAGCAGTGATCGTTCTTCATTATGGCTTTGAACATGCCTTGGATTTATCCTGTTCGCGTCGTCCAGGTAGCTTTCGCGATCATCGTGCTCGGATTGACGGCATATGGTAGGCCTACGCTCGTCCTGCTTGTTGTGCTGATGGAAGACTTGCCTAACGCCCTAGCAGCTGTTACTGTAGTCCAGAGTGACACCGTCAATTTCATGCTTTTCAATGGCGTCTGGACTGCCTTCGTTGCAACGCCCTATCTTGCGCTGGCCCCAGTTTTCTTCCCTCAACTGGCGCATCGCTTTGTCATCCCAGCTGTGGAAATTGTGACCATGATTTTCTGGTTTGCAGGGTTTATTGCGCTTGGTGTTTTGCTTCCGTCTCCGGATTACTGCCACTGGGGCCAATGCAGGGCATTGCAAGCTGCAACCGTGTTTGGGGCATTCGAATGGTAAGTCATACCCAATTCAATCTAGAGCTTTTTCGTCACATCTCGACGTCTTGCCGAATTCGAAGATATCAAGGGCTGACATTGCGGGAAAAGGGCATTGTTCCTTGCTACGAGCATTGTAGCTATACTCGGTGCTCTGCGATCTGGCGGTCACAGCACCAACAGTACGAAGCCGGCCCCGCAAACTACCACTCACATTGGAGTCTAAACAGGTTGATAGCAACCGTAGTTCCGTGATGATGGGTACCTGTCCTCGCATGTCATACCTATTCACATGAATACTCGCAGATGAGTCTCGAAAGAGAAAACCGCCTACGTTCAACTGTTCTCATGGCATGAGGTCATATACGCCAGCTTCGACCGACACTTGCTGTTTCCAGTCACCGAGAACACCAACAACATGCAACGACACAGAGAGATTCTTCGCGGAGGCGCATGAATGATGGCTGTTGATTTCTCTCGGACTGACTTCCCGAATCTCGTAGATTCGCAATTGACGCCTATTGGAGACCATGACTTCATCTATTAACGATTATGCCTTTGTATCTTTATAATGAGACCTATTTCGTTTCTCCGCATGCTGTGATGTTGATACCCCCGTCAATTCTTTATACCATGTATCTGATCTCTGTTGTACACTGATCCACAAGTTAGCTGAAATTTTGATTGATAGCCATTGACATGATATTTCATACAATATGCCCCTGTGTCAAAAAAGTCAGAATCTATATCAGGACTTGAGCCCTGTTTGGAATGGACAGATTGGCTGTTTCTCCTGGTTGACGGTAGAATATTAGAGGGGCAGGCACTGGAGGATTTCAAGCTCAAATGAATTGCCCGATGATGTCAATTGTGGTCGATGATCTGACTATCTTGTCTCTACTTCTAATGGAATGAGAAGCATGAATCTGCGTTGTAGAAGACAAGAGGATGGGACTGGAAGATGCCTCAATGGATCACTTGAAAGGAAATATTCTAGAAGCTTTTAGCCGCACCTCCAGTTTGCCCGCACCGAGAAAACCGCTCTCAAGCTTTGGTTTGGGAAATTAGATCCCAATTATCCCAGGCTTTCCCAACTCCTAGCAAGACTATTTTGTTTGGGACCTTAAGGGTTTAGACCAGGCTTTTGTAGTTTAAGTGTTTGTCCGTTTGACAGTTCCTTAGAACAGCAGGGCAGACTCCCGACCTGAGGATCGTGTGCACAACCCTGTACACACACTACACGGTGTCGCAGACTTACGATGAACCTGGAAAATCCCGAAGAGCAACCAAGAGAATTTTTCCCGTCAGGATGGTGGGTCGACTGAATGACAGTAGTTGCACCTATCTATCTATCTATCGAGTACCTACGTAGTAGAAGTTTTCTCTCTCGGCAACTCATCTCCCATTTCCGATTTCCAAGCAGCAGCCAAGCTTCATTGACTTTCCGCCACCGCACTTAAATCAGTTAGCATCGAGTCATCTTACGAGAAAAAAATTCTTCTTTCTCCGCCCATCAGCCAGCACTCCTAGGCTCCTAGCAGCGCTCCACATCCCATGTGGATGCCACTGGATGGCAACTCTTCAATACTCAATTACTGATTATCTAGGTAGATATCCAAGGCTCCGAGAGAATGATTTTCGTTTGCCATCCAGAGGGCCGTGCTTTCTGCCATCCATGGATTCAAGTCTTATCATAGGAGAGAGAGAGAGAGAGAGAGAGATGGAGAATGCAACAAGGATGAGATGGTAGGAAAAAGTTTTCCTAAAGTACGTACTTTACTACAAAAAGAATCTGCAACCGATGAAGCAATCAGAATATGCATATTATTCCTTCTTCTTGCCTTGAGCTTCTGACTACGGAGTACTGACCATTATTATTTAGAGTACCCCTCGGTAGACAGTAGATAGTCCAGTGATGATGATAATATTTATCTGTTCTCAGTTCTAATCTTCCAAGTCTCCAATTAATGTTACATCGGCCTCCCGCTCGCAGATAGATGACTCCATAATCTCCATTATCAAAGCTCACTCCAGCCAAATTCTGTCTACTGTTCTCTTTACATAACACCTTCCTGTACATTTATTGTACATAATCGTATTATCTGTATCATTTGCCATTGGCTGTGCCTTTATCTCTTTGCCGTGTCAGTCAATTGCTGATTTCTGATGCATTTGCAATAAAAGCACAGCATCAAGTCCTTTCATTGTCATTCTTTGAACCTCGTCCTGATTCAGTTCAGTCGACAGTGCAGAAGAGGGTAAAAAAGAAAGGCCTGCTTGCTCCGTTACTCGGCAGTATTCCAGTGGACTCGACTCACTCAACCTCGAGTGGTCTTAAGTGGAGTCTCTGTTGAACGGCGCGCTTCCCTCCTTCCACCCCGATTTTTTTCGCCTCTTCTTTTTCTTTCTTTTTTGTACCTTGAATCCCCACCAGCCCTCTAGTGCACTTCCATACTCCAACTCGTCTTGTTTCAATCTTCAGCGCCAGAACGCTGAAGGCTCGACTGATGGCCTTCAACGAGCTTGAGGTCACGGCTGCGCCAAAGGTCGCAGAAGACAAGGGCACGATGTTAAACGATGAGTCTGTCCAGGTCTACGACAACAGTTCCCCCCCGGCCTCGAACGATCTGGACTGTGAGAAGCATGGAGCTAGCCGTGAATCGAATCCGCTGCCCGATCTCAAGCGGAAGCTGAAGAGCAGGCATCTACAGATGATTGCCATTGGTGAGTCATGCTTTAATTTGAGCCTCAGCTCAGAAGCATCCCGCTTTGTGCTAATCCACTCTGGTAGGTGGTACTATCGGCACAGGTCTTTTCATCAGTAGCGGTACCGCTATCGCACATGCAGGCCCCGTGGGGGCCCTCATCGCCTATATGTTCGTTGGCTCCATCGTCTACTCGGTCATGACCTCTTTGGGAGAGATCGCTACATACATTCCAATCCCAGGAGCGTTCACCTCCTATGCCACGCGGTTGATTGACCCGAGTCTGGGTTTCGCCATGGGTTGGATTTATTGGTTTTCTTGGGCCATCACCTATGCTCTTGAGCTGACCGCAACGGGTCTGATCATCCAATTCTGGAAATCGGATATCCAAATCGCCATCTTCATTGCTGTCTTCTGGGTGATGATCACTCTTTTCAACTTCTTGCCTGTCAGTTTTTATGGCGAGTTGGAATTCTGGTTCTCAAGCATCAAAGTTATCACTGTCGTTGGGTTCATGATCTTCGCTATTTGCATTGACGCAGGTGCTGGTGACAAGGGCTACCTTGGTTTCCGGTACTGGTCGAACCCTGGGCCCTTTTCCCCTTACGAAGGCGTTCACCCCGATTCCACCGCGAAGTTTGTCGGCTTCTGGGCTGTCCTGATCCAGGCTGGATTCTCATACCAGGGAACTGAGCTTGTTGGCATTGCTGCTGGTGAAACAGAAAATCCCCGCAAGACTGTTCCTGCGGCCATCCGCAAGACATTCTTTCGAATCCTGTTCTTTTTTGTCCTGACCATCTTCTTTATTGGTCTGCTGGTACCCTACACTAATGATAACCTTCTCACGGGTGGAAATGACGCCAACTCCTCGCCCTTTGTCATTGCTGCTAAGCTAGCAGGTGTGAAGGTTCTCCCGCATATCATCAATGCGGTCCTGCTGACTGTGGTTCTTTCTGCTGCGAACTCTAATGTCTACAGTGGCAGCCGTATCTTGATTGGTCTGGCACAGGAAGGGTTCGCGCCGCGTTGGTTTAAGAAGACTAGCAAGAAAGGTGTTCCCTACTACAGTGTTGCATTCACCTCAGCTTTTGGCCTGCTTGGATTCATGAATGTTTCCAATGCTGGTAGCACCGTATTCAATTGGTTCCTAAACATCTCTGGTGTGGCAGGCTTCATTACATGGGCATCCTTGAATGCTTGTCATATCGCATTCATGCGAGCCGTAAAGGCTCGCAACATTTCTCGCGACCTCCTCCCGTACAAGGCTTTGTGGCAGCCATGGTATGCCTACTATGGCTTGTTCTTCAACATCCTGATCATCCTCACACAGGGATTCACTGCCTGGATTCCGTCGTTCAGTGTGACCGACTTTTTCGTCGCCTACCTCAGTTTGATTCTTTTCGTTGTGCTCTACCTGGGCCATAAGATCATTTTCCGACCAGCGTTTGTGCGTCCAATCGAAGCGGATATCGATACTGGCCGCGTCGCTCTGGAAAACGAGATGTGGGAGACAGTCACGCCCACCAAGTGGTATCAGAAGTTGGGCAGTGCGATCCTGGGATAGAAACACGGCGCGACTTCTTGGCCCACTCATGTGCCGTATGTGTCGACCGTCCACAGGAGAGGTAATTAATGTACAGAAAATGAAGTATGGACTGTTACGACATCTACGTTCGTCGGTATGGTTGTTCGGCTATCCGATTATCTGTGGACTATGACAGGAGAAAGGATGAATGCGCCGGTGGAATAGGGATGATACCCCTGTGTCTATCTCGGTTTTGTTTTGTATATAGCATGTAGATATTTCTCTCGCAGGATTCAGCATTTGGCATGGAGTTGGGTGAGTTGTCTCTTTTCATGGTTATGACCTGATTGTACAGGTGTTCAATAGATAATTTATGCGCCATCTCATCTAGAAATCTCAAGTTACTGACTCATATATAACTGTAGGTATGCTCTAAACACATCATATTTCCCTCACTCATGATATAGTAGGATCTTACTATGGTGATAGGACAACAATGCAGGCATGACTGCACTATCACATGAAACTCTTCCCACGTGCTTACATACAACTTACTATGTATTAGCTTTCTCCAATGATCTTCCCTAGCAGCTGACACAGTACCAGGGGTACCCTTACTCACATCAGTACTCCATATGCACCTATCTGCTCTCATCCATGCGCACAAGTCCCAGTCCTCGATCACTGGCTGATCTGAACCAGAAGTATGAACAGTCAAAGCATCGGAATTTCCCCCAGATATTTACCTAGGTTAAAAAAAGTAGTACATCGATTTTAAAATTTAGAACATATCTTGACGGTATGGGGGACAATTTCGGGCCGACGCCATCTTGCGTTAGGATCTCCGGGACATTGAGCGATCTAAACTGGAAATAGAAGAACTTCATCGGCTTTATTATCGAGTCTTTAAGGTGATGGAAATGCAGCAATAATAGTGGAGTGGCTGAGTAGGAAGTAGACCGTACCGAGTAGATACCTGGTGGATGTCTCGGATTTCTCTTGTGCTTATCCTGGGAATCCCGCAGAATCCACCGTCATCCTGTATCTTCGTTACTTTCTTACAGATACGATGTATCTACTGTCTAAGGTAATTTGTGTAGCCATTGAAATTCAAGAAGAATTCGGAGGATCTTCTGTCGAATCTTTGAGAGAGCGTGAAAGGCAGAACAGCCGAGGTAAGTTTCCACGAGGATGAATGGTCGGCTATGACTTCAGCGCTTGGCTCGACCATTCAGCTGCTCAGCGATGCTCCAGTCCCCAGTCCAACTACCCCATCCCGAGGAGTGATTTGGCGGGCTTTCCTTGTTCCAGGGGGGCCAGTGATCCCCGGTCGCTTTTTCTCCAGATATTTATTTCTTATAATATCTATCGGACAGGCAGAAGAAGGAGGAACAAAACAAGAGCAGCCAGGCATGAGGACATCGTTCTGAATTCTTAAGGAGTCCAGCTACCTAGCTTCCTCCACTTCCCTTTTCGCTTACCTTGACTCCATACTGTCCGTCCTTGTCCGATCATTTCGCTCCCTGATTCATTATTGTATAGATTGCTCGTCTTCCATTTCTGGACGAAATAAGCACTCCTTTTTCTTGTAAATTTCCTCCCTTTTCGGTCGTTGTCGAGACTTTCCACTTGTGCTATCGGACGCCGTAGGTTCTGCGTCCCCTCCCCTCCCCTGGCCTTGGAATGACTGACTTTATGTCTTATGGATGCTTTTGTACCCACTAACTCAAACAGAGATAGATTGTATACATTGTCGCCGCCATGTTTTTCTCCCAGCAACCCACCCATCTCGCTCGTGCCGAGGAATTGAGACAAGAACCTCCCAAGGGCACTCCATATTCGGTTGCCCTTCCCGGCACCGAGCAACCCGGACGGAGCAAAGTCTACCGTGCTTGGAATCTTCAGAATGAGCTTCTAAAGACGTTGGACCCCAAGGTATGCGCCGAATACCATGGAAACTCCTCACGACTAATCCTGATCCTGTCTGTCTAGATTCTCACGGCGCACGATGTCTTTGAGTCGACCGCGAATCGAGTCCCGAAAGCCCATTGCCTCGGATGGCGTCCTTACAACCCGGTCACAAAAACCTACGGCCCTTACCAGTGGATGGACTATGAGACCGTTCGAAAGCGAAGAGCTGCCTTTGGTGCCGGCTTGGTGGAAGTGCACAACAAGCATGGCTGCGGACGCCCGGGACCGTATGGGATTGGACTTTGGTGTCAAAATCGGCCAGAATGGCAAATTACTGGTACGAGATTCCCCCGCCTCTCCCTCGTCTGATTACTCAATATGTTCCTGGCCTCTGACTGAAGTTCGTCATCGCAGATCTGGCATGCATGTCCCAGTCCCTCTACTCGGTCTCGATCTATGATGTCCTTGCCTCGGATGCCACCGAATATATTATCAACCATGCAGAATTGAACTGTGTTGTCACCTCCTTGCCGCATATTCCCACTCTGCTTAAGCTCAAGCCCTCTTTGCCCAATCTCAAGATCATCGTGAGTCTGGATCCTCTGGATGCTGGCGAACCCGCCGGCCACTCAAAGCGTGCGCTCCTGGAGTCCATCGCTGCCGGTCTGGATGTCGCAATCTATACCATGGATCAGGTTGAGGAGCTGGGCACCGCTTCGAATCGTCCGTGCAATCCCCCCTCTCCTTCGGACATCGTCACGATCAACTATACCTCCGGTACTACCGGTCCTCCAAAGGGTGTGGTCTTGACTCATGAGAATGCCGTGGCTGCAACCTCTGCCGCGCTCGTCAACGTTCAGCAGGCCCCAGGTGACACAAGTTTGTCTTATCTGCCGTTGGCCCACATCTATGCTCGTTTGACGGAGCATACCGCTTTCTGGGCGGGTGCGCGTATCGGCTACTTCCACGGTAATATCGTGGAACTGGTCGACGATATCAAGACGTTGAAACCTACGGGTTTCATGTCAGTCCCCCGTCTTTACAGTCGCTTTGGCAACGTCATTCGTGCTGCCACCGTAGAGCAACCCGGCTTCAAGGGTGCTCTGTCAAGACACATTGTTGCCGCCAAAACTGCCAACCTGAAGAATCCCGACCCCAGCAAAGCCACCGTGAAGCATGCTCTATACGACAGAATCTGGGCCAAGAAGGTCGCTGCGGCCATTGGTTTGGAACGGTGTAGATTCATGGTGTCGGGCTCGGCGCCCCTAGATCCCTCCTTGCACAACTTCCTGAGAGTTGCCCTTGGAGTCGACTTCATCCAGGGCTACGGTCTGACCGAGACGTACGCCATGGCAAGCTCGCAGTCTTCGAAGGATCTTACCGCCGGCAACTGTGGGCGTCTCGCTCCTTGCACCGAAGCCTGTCTAATGTCTTTGCCTGACATGGAATATTCGGTCGACGACAAGCCTTTCCCACGGGGTGAGTTGCTTCTGCGCGGTACCAATGTCTTCAAGGAATACTTCAAGAACACGGAGGAGACCAGCAAAGCGATGACCGAGGATGGTTGGTTCCGAACTGGGGATGTTTGTACAGTTGATGAAATGGGTCGCTTTGTTATCATCGACCGCCGGAAGAATGTCCTCAAGCTCGCCCAGGGAGAGTACATCTCTCCTGAACGACTTGAGGGTGTCTACCTGTCGGAGCTTGGTTATTTTGCTCAGGGCTATGTTCATGGTGACAGCGTTCAGACTTTCTTGGTTGGTATTTTCGGTGTCCAGCCTGATGCATTCGCTCCGTTCGCTAGCAAGGTTCTTGGTCGGACTATCGATGCTGCAGACATCGAGGGACTTAAGTCGGTTCTGGGTGACGACAAGGTCCGCAAGGCGGTGCTGCGAGACCTCGAGAAGGTCGCCAGGAAGCACAAGCTTGCTGGTTACGAAAGAGTCAAGAACTGTGCTTTGCTCATTGAGCCTTTCTCAGTTGAGAATAACCTGCTGACACCGACGTAAGTGGCCGTCTTCTTTTCGCGCAATATTGCCATTGTTTTCAGATACTAACACTGGTTTAATGTCTAGTCTCAAGCTGAAGCGTCCTCCTACCACGAAGAAATATCGCCAGCTCCTGGATCAGCTTTATACTCAGGCTCTGGAAGAACAATCTGCTCCCAAGGCTAGGCTGTAGATGTGGTTTGACTTCTCTTCTTGTATAGAATTATACCAGTTCTTCAAGTTATCCGTGCTCGTGGTGTTGTATAGCCAGTTTCTTCAAGCAATGTACATACAGTTTGAATTGTCTTTCTGCGCCTTGAGGGGCAACAGATAGTGCACATGCCATATTTTCTATATCTTGCTTTCAGACCCTGGTAGCCGTCGACTATCATTCTTCGTGCCTGGGTGGCTTGTCGAGGTCCCATTTGCCATGCCTTCGAGGCGGGAAGTGACTACGAGATAGGTCTACGAGCAGTTCAGAAATCCCAACCCACTTCTTTAGTCAGGTAACCCGCCTAGTTGGAATAGACTTGTACTTTTCCTGTCCCCTTGAAAAGCTATGAAATGCTCTGTGGCAGACATGTCGATGGCCGACAATCCGAACCGTTCTCCTGGCACGGCAGCAGGTCATGTAAGCCCAATCTCAGTCAAGTTCTGCTTTTGCTACGGAGTATAAAGATTATCCAAATGACAAGATCAGGAAAAACTAATCTCGTTATTTCGTTGGTGGCATTGTCACTTGTGCAGTAGGTTAATGCAGCAAGTAGACGGATGTCCAAAAGCTTGGCACTCACATCACCACTCGTTTGTCATTCGTGCAGCGTGCTCCATCTGAACGACGACATCTCTTCCTCGCCCAACCGCCGACGAAATTCTCAAAAATTGTGCGAGGAAGTCACTGCCCTTTCAATGATGTTCTTCCTCAGGTCGTCTCTTTCTGCCCTTCTCCTTTTCATTGCGGCTACCTTCACAGCAGCATTGTCGTCTCCCCTCACAATCACCATCCCTCCTTCGAATCTGCTACCCAATCCTAACACCCTCCCAGCTGGGACACACGCGACCTTGACCTCATTACCGTCACCGAAGGATACGGAAGATGTCCCCAGTCACCTGCCTCATCCCTTGACGGCCCCGCTCACCCGCTCGGCTTCTTTCGTCTTCCGGAACCTCAAGGCGACGAAACCGGAGTCCTATCTGCTCGATATTCGATCGGCCGAGTATATCTTCGCTCCGTATCGGGTGGACGTCTCTGCCGATGGAACTGTCCTGGGCGTGTGGGAGACTTACCGGGGAAACCCATGGGACAATCGCGGCCCGGAGAAGTTCGTTGTCGATGCTGCTGCTGGCAACAGCGCCAAAGCCGCAGAGGTGACGGTGGAAGCGAAAGTCTTGGCTCGAAGAGGTTTCTATGAAGAAAGAGCTAGATGTGAGATGAATCCCCTCCCACTGCCGTGGCGGAGAATGCTCCGACTTTGGGCCCTTCAAATGATGTGTATGCTGACAAGGACGCATCGTACCAGTCTCGCCCCTTTCGCTCTTCAAAAACCCTATGATTTTGTTGGCATTGGTAGCACTGGGTTTCACCTTTGGAATGCCGAAGCTTATGGAGAATAGTAAGTCGTTTTGCTACTATTAGCTCTTGCCTATACACACCTTGCCTACTTGCTAACTAATTTGCCAGTGGACCCGGAAATGCGTGCTGAATTTGAGAAGCAATCACGCTCCTCTCCGATCTCTGGTGCTACACGAAATGCTATGGCTGGCGGCGGCGCGCCTGGGAATTTCGATCTGGCCGGCTGGATGGCCGGTGCCACCCCAAGGCAAACCGCCGAGACAGATTCTGGAGCCTCCCGGGGAGCAGCAACCGGTCGGGAAACTGGGGGTTCTACGCGCAGACGAGGTTGACAGGCTATTCATTGGCTTCGTCTCAGCCAACTATTCGCTTAAGACATTTTCTTTGACATCAGTCGAATTGACTCTATTACCGCCTACATGACAGATCTCAGCCTGCCGGTATGGGAGTATAAAAAGCAAGTAATAGGACACGAGCAAGAATACTATTTACATGATCATCATCAACATCATATCTTCGTGGAGAGCGATCAGAAGCAAGTCTGTATACACACGCATCTATTGATACGCTTAGGGCATCTGAGATAGATGCGATCCAGACGCAGCAGGGCGAGAACGGAAAATTGAGCCCACGCTCCTGTGACCAATCAACTTAAGAAACTGCAATGAAGGCAGGTGAGGACAAGCGCCAACAAAGCGGCGCACATTTCAGCAAACTCAAAAGTCACCGCCAAAGTCATCACCGCCGCCGAAGTCACCACTGTAATCATCACCATAGTTGTTGATGACCGTGTCCCCATGGTCATCGTCGAATGCTTCTGCGAGCAGAGCACCGCCGAGCAAACCGCCTCCCACACCCAAAGCGGCAGCGCCTGCAGTGCCCATTCCGCCGCTCCGCCGCGGTGGCTGCGCCGCGGGATAGTGGCCGCCCTGTGGCGGGTACTGAGGGTACCCATAACCTGCGGGCTGCGGTTGCGGGGGGTAGCCGCCCCCATAGTAGCCTCCTTGCTGATACCCGTAAGGTTGTTGCTGAGCAACAGGCGGTCTTCCATAGTGGGAGCTACTACTACTACTACTACTCGAGCTCTTGCCCATCAATTTGCTCAGGAAGCCTTTGCTGCGCTTCTGTTCCGGGGCTGGCGCAGGACCCTGTGACGGCTGATAACCCGTTGATGACAGCGGTCGGGAGCTTTCGCTGTAGTAGTCTGCCGCCGCGCCGGGATGCGCAGGGCTTCTGCTTTGAGCTCGAGCATCTTCTTCTGCCTGTAGTTGAGCGGCGAGCCGAGCATCGCTCTCCAGAGTATCATGGCTGGGTTCCCCTTGGTTGTAGGGATTGTTCGAGCCCAGGGTCTTCTTGTCAGTTGCGGCAGCCTGAACGGATGGATCTGCAGGGCCAGAATCATCGTAGGAAGGTGGCGGCCCGCTTGGCGGAGCATGCTGCTCTTCTCTCTGAGCTGGACCCTCAGGACGTTCCCATTGCGATTTGCCCGTGTGTAAGTTCACAAAGAACCTTGAGTAGGGTAGATTAGATTCAAGGGATCGAGACCAAGTTCAAGGTGGAAGCCACAAGAGAGCTCACCATTGCTTGTAGCGGTCGTCATATTGAGCCTTCCATCCTTCTGGAACGGAAGGCGGCGGAGGTCCGGGAGGCGGGGCAAATGACATGGAGATTCAAAAGATGAGGGAGCGGACTCGGTCTTAGACGTTCAACAACAATAATATATCCAAGCACGTTGATAGCGAAGGATCGAGACGGTTTCTTGTTTGTATCAGACTCGCGAGAGCAGTTAAGGAAGGAGGGTCAGAAATTTGGAGATGGCAATGGTGTTCACTATGGTTCGGCAGTAGGGTACTCTGTACTCCGTACCCCGTAGAGAGATATGATCTCATATAAATAGCTACTGGCCACCTAGCCACTGGGTCACCGCTTTGCAGTGCCCTGTGGCGGTGCCCGGATACTTAATGCTGCTGATTGGACGACTGGCAGTAGATAATACAATATGCCTTTCTAATCTTGTCTAGAATCTAGTGTAAGGAATCTACCCCGTGCGCTACTACTACTATATGTCTGGATTGCGGTAATGTTGGTCTTTTGGCCTTGTGGGATATCTAGAATCCAGCTGGATTCTTTACATACAGAATTCTAGATACAGCAATTGAACTTATCTATCAGCTCACAGCTGCAACAGGCTTTGAAAGATAGACTAATGTTAGATGTGATAAAAGCCATCTTTCTCATGCATTTTTATTATGAATTTACTGATTAGAGCCATAGTCACTAGACATTCATATCTATCACCCAGTAGGGCAAAATAACACCATATGAAGCCAGATCCTAATATCTATCCATGGAGTGCCCTGACTTCTGATATATCAATATCATTACTACAAACTTACCATCTTTCTAGACCATGATATAGAATAATATATAGATTCTGTCGTGGTCTACGTCAAGGTAGGGACTAATATGGTGTATGGTAAGAAGCTGAGTTCATATCTATAATAACTAGTCTGCAGATATGGACATTAATAATAAGTCATCACTATAAATAAGACTATAAGGAAGTAATACTTAAAGTATTAACTATAATATTATCCCCTCCTATAGATAAGCTAAGTGCTATATAAGGTGATTTATATAAAAAAGAAAGGGTAAAACCTTAATTTATAGAAAAAAATACTAAGTATAAGATAAAACTGGAAAAGAAGGCTGTTATAAGTGAGAACTATATATTAATTATTTATAGGAATTATAAGGATAAGGTTATGTTATTATAGGGGTAGTAATAGGCTATTAACTAAGCTAATTTATAGTAATAAAGATAAGAGGCTAAAATATAGTTACTTAATAAGAATATATAAAATAATAGTAGGTTAAATAGATAAAGTATTATTAATAATATAAAGTATAAATAATATAGGAGAAACTAAGGGGCTTAGTTAAAGG